TGACGAAGACAGTTATTGTATATTGCTTTAAATCAGTGCTATCATACAAGTTTTCTGAGTTATTCAAGTCTCAATTCTCTTATCTATTATTTTCGACAACAAATTAAGATAACTCTTAAATTTCATCTGTTCATTTCACATCATTTTTTCCGCAATCAATATTTGAATCGAAATCTCTTTTATGATATGATCTTTCAATTTATGTTTATGTTAAATTTAAAGTTTTTGTATTAATCTCATCCTAATTTAATTCTGTCAAATGATATGAATTTCGTACAATGTTTTATTTTAGTTCCTTTCGTGCAATGACCCAGAAATTGTGTTTGAGAAAGTACAAGTCAGTAACGCAGGGAAATATACCTGTACCATAGAGTATTCTACTACGTATTCTATCGAAGTAAAGTCTGCTGTTTTCTTGCTGACAGTAAATAAAGACAGAACTGTCACAAAGACCAAACCAGCAGCATCGATGATAACTTCAAAACCTATTTTTACAGATCCCAAGATGTATGGATTAGATGATGAAGAAATTTTCGGTAATGTGCTACTCATTATTTGATCAGAAGCACTTTTAAGCCTACCAATATTATTACAAAAGTAAATTTAAAAATCACTTGGTTTAGGAATTAGTCATAAAATAATCCCTCTGTTATAGTGAACAAACCATTGCATCCATTAAAAAGATTTATGCTATAGGTATGATCACTAAGTCTAAGACAAAATTATACATAGGTAAAGAAACAAAACATATTATTAGAAAAATCTGAAGGATACTGTAAATGGTTTGAAATCGGATGTGTGAATCATTTACCTTAATTATACGGGAATGAACTTTACCAATGGTATTTGTTTTAAATTGCATTTTATACATTAGTAAAACGCTTGAAAACATTGACTTACTCCGTAAAATCTTCTCAAGCTATCTTTCAAAATAAAACCATGGACTGTTTTATACAGACAGTAGATTTAAACATTGGATTGTTTTCCCTCTAAGAAAATTACAGATGTTCAAATTTAATCCCTGGTAGTTGTTATTACCACCCATGCAATTAACTATTCATCAGATTGACTTTGTCTTTTTATATTGATTTTACTGCGGATAAAAGAAAATCTGTTTTCATGCATTAAAAAATCTGCAAGAAAAGCATGCAAAAACTTTTGAATTGGTTGACGTTTTTAATTGGTTAGGCGAGGGACTCCGCCTTTTTAGCCCGGGGAACAGACGCAGAAATACCAAGTTTTCGCTGAGAAAAATCAATTCTTTTATTTGAAAAACATGAAAAAAGTGATCAAGCAGGACCTGTTGTAATGTCTTCATTGTTTCTGTTTTTTATGGTTTTTCTTTTGCATAAAGAATCTACATCTAGCTTCATTATAACTACATATGTAGGTATTCAATTTGGTAATCTAAGAATAAACGGTGCAATATATTACCGATATGTTTATGCAATGTACTATTTCTTTCTATTAAGCTAACTTTATGTATGAACAAAAACATTATTTTTTTTCCTTTTCAAAGGCAGTGGAGTGGATGAGAACTTTGATGATGGAATTCTTAGACCGATGTTCACTAATAGTCTATCCAACTTTAACTACAGTCAAGGTGTGGTTCTTTCTGTGTCTGATCAAAAACGTGATTATCGGACGCATATTTTGAATGAATGTCCAGTTGTGTTTAGCAATTAATGTAATCAACAAAAATGTATCATTCGTTGAAGTATTGAATGTCTTCGTTATAACTTTTCTTGTAAATTTAACCGAATACACTGAAAACTTGTTTCAAAAATATATAAAAGAGGATATAAACACATGTACTTTTGTTTCTACATTTCCAGTATTGGTTTCGTTTTATATTAATGCGTAAAATGTACTTAATAATTTCACTCGTCGTTCTTTAAATCATTACAGAAAGCATAAAATGTGGTAACGCCTTTTCAAAGAGATTTTTTTTGCTCAACATTTATATTTCCTACTGCATCTTTTTTTAAAAGATCAATTTCCATTTTTTTGTCAAAACATCCATTTTGGAGGACGACTGCTTTTATGAAATTCCGGGCTACCAAACAAAAATTTACTATAGTTTACTATAGTTAACTATAGTAAATATTTGATTTATTATAAAACTTTACTCTTGATTTTTTATTTGGGATTTAGAGACATAATAATTCTTATATTACGTATCAACGATGTATTCTTTAGAAATAATATGTGAATATACAAGTCATAATTCCTTTTAATATTAGAAAGTTTAATATAGGAATTTTAGAAAATGAAATACAAAAAATTGAAATTTATATTAATAAAACTTTGATTCACTTTAGTAAAAGCTTTGATTACTATAGTAAGACTTTGATACTATAGTAAACTATAGTTAACTGTAGTATTTTTTTTTGTTAGAGAAGGACCAATTTCCACTAAATAACAAAAGTATCCAGGACTCCCCAGCAGGAAAACCGGCCCATACAGATGAGGAAGGACTCAATTGACGTTATCTTGGGTCTGGTGGCGGGCGTTGCACTCTTGGTGGGATTGGTGGCTATTGTGGCGGTACTTTATCGATATCGTTTGAGGAGCTTAACAGTTACAAATTAACCTTTGGAAGATGGGGAATAGCGAATGTCTTTTTTAAGAAAATAGACTTTGAAAGCAGTTTTTGGGCCTGCATATAAGGCACACCGTCCATTTTTACAACATCGGTTCAATTTTTATCAGCATATTCAGTACTAAGAATACCTGTTTAAACAGGGCCAACCAAAATAGTATCATGTTATAAAAATATTCAAAGAAATTGAAACTAGGTGTAATAACTTCAATGTTGTTAGGTCACTTGAATTACTCTGATGACATTGTAATCTGTTTGTGTGCATTGCCTTGTGACATGCGTTGTTTGTTAAAATTTGAACATTTTCAGCTTGTTCTTTTAAACCGCTGAGCCAATTTCAATCGTGCAGGTGTGTTAAGGAAATAATCAAATATTCTGACTTGACTAAATTACTGATACAATATGACGTCATAGTAGGTGAGATGAAGAAAACAAGTTTTTTTTTATATTGGTACTTAGAGATGTAATTAATCTCCGGAAAATGAATAGAAACATACAAAAAATAACAAAAATAAAATGTTTTTTTTATTTGCTGTATCTGTCACTTGGATTAAAAGCTCCAACCTATGAAGTAATAACTGTTCAACAAATAACTTGAGACTTGATCATGTTGTGTAACGAGAATTTGGCTAAGACGTCATGTAAAAGGATACGTAAAACTGAGTTTAGAAGCTAATACCGTGAAAATTGTGTGTTATTCATAAGTATTTTAGGTTTGTTAAGCAGGTATGCTGATTTATTTTCATCGATTTTATCTTCTATTGAAGACAATCAGCTATTTACGTATCCCGGTCGGCCTTTCCTCTGTCATTCGTAACAAACTAACGCAAAAGAACAACTTAAGCTGTATACTTCAAAACATAATATTTGTACAGATCGAAAGCATGAGTTCTATAATACTAGGAAAGTGCTGCTAGCATCATGAGGTATACATGGTTTGAAGAAATATCTCGGGTTATTTGAATATAGGCCTAATGCAAAACATCTGTTAAGGTTTCGTGCAAATGTGTGGAATAACTATTTTCCCGGCCGGACAGCAGGACTCTAGCAGCATTTTTTAGGCATAAGAGATGTTTTTCAGCTACATTACTTATTAAACCCCGGGGAAGTGTTGTTTTGTTTACTTTTTATTAAAGAATATTTTCTATTAATAGCAGTCCCGTGATGACGTCGTGGTGGTGCACTTCTTGGCCTCTTACACCCTGTTGTCTTTATGCATATTCAATAATAGTTTATACTTTATCGGCGGCTTTGATAATTTATCAGACTTAAGTTTCTTTAAAAGTCTAAATTTCCCAGGAAAAGATTTTAATGTTCCCTTAACGTACCCGCCTAATTTTGGTGTATTTCATGTATGGGCAAAAGAAAAGAAAAATTTTAAATTTCATGGTCTTTGTCCCCTTGCGGCCTGAGTGGGGGGATCATAAAAAGGGGCACAGTTTCAACCTAAGTGGAAAAACACAGTTTGTAAGCACTATGTTGCTCTAAAATTTTTTGGTAGTATTTTTGTTGAAATGTCAAATAATTGGTATATAATTTTAGTAGTTGATTCAGTATTACACGCCACAATTTTTAATTTCCTTGTTATACAATTGAATTTTCAAAAGAGAAAAAATGTAAATTCAAATCAATTCTACTTGAAGATTAACATATATACCTTTGCAGAAAGAGCTGGCTAATAAAATAGATTCTTAAGGGAGTTTCGTCTTTTTTGTAATAATCCAGGTTATATTGTATTTTCCCAACAACGGACTAGATCAAGTATGACATGTATCCAAACAACTGTTATCATATACTGAAGTTATTTATCCTTTTAACTTACTTTACTCTTAGGATAAAAAAGAAAACTTCAGAATGCTTTTCATTCTGATTCGAATCTTTCAAAGATTTGTAATCGTCATGACTGAATATTTTACATAAAATTTTTGAAAAGAACATTTGTTTATATAGAGGAAAAGATTTTAAATTATATGTATATTGTTCATCTCTTAATGCATTAGAAAAATGGTATTTTTTTTGCGTGGTTTTAGTAAAGATGCTTTTAAAGTCTGTTTATAAAGATTGGTCCTTGCTTAACGTTACCAAAGAATATAAGAAAAAATGTCAAAATTAATAGTTAAATAAATAAACCTGTTTATCTGTAAAGTTATAATTAATTTATTGTCACGTGAGGTCCTCAACTATCTTCCCTTAACTAAAGACTATTATAAGTGTACATGATTTCAGATTTCAAAAGTTCAACCGGAAAAATGTATCATATGACATTCACTTACAGTAAGGAGCATTAAAAAATAAACAAGGTCAAAAAGGATTTACATGTAGACATTCCGAACAAAACGTAATTGCGGCTTTCTTCATATTTAAATGATTTGAATTTTTTTTTTTTACATTTATCATTATGTTACCTCCACAACATTTATTAACCTTGTTGCTGGTGTGTAGAATCTATCCTGCATTACCAGTGGATGGTCAAAAGATTAACAGAGGTAAGTACTATCAAACACATTGTTTAATTTTAATTAAGAATATGAAATATAATCAATTACAATCTATTTTCAATGTGCATTATGTAAATCATATACGGTACCAATTTTGATGCACCGTATGTGCATTTCGACAAATTATGTCTCTTCAGTAATGATCATGCCGAAACGTTAGAAATCCAAAATATTTATATAAAAAAGACTTTGAAGAGCTGAAAAAAGGTGCCAAAAACTGTATCCAAATACGTCATAATTTCAGATTTCAAAAGTTTAACCGAAAAATGATCATATGACATTCACACTTACAATAAGAGGCATAAAATAAATAACAAGTTCAAAACGTATATAGGAAAAACGCTGACATAAATGAGACACTGGTAGTTGAAAACCCTGTAACCTTATTTTTATTTGCCAGTAGCCTGTGATCGTACTCAGATAATTCTCTTCCGTTCCGAAATCAAACACAATATGATGGTGATTGTGAACTAAGGGAAGTTGACAAAGAAAAGACGAAGTCATCCCGTTTGTCGTATTGTTTAGTTGTTAACTGGCCATAAACATCCTTCTTCGTCAAAGGTGATGAACATTGAAATGTCTCTTGAAGAAATTTAACAACGAATCAAATGAAACATATTGGTCTTATTGTGTGACTGTTGATATTGAATACGTGTTCGTCTTAGTGTACTCTTAAAAGGACTAATCACATTTACGATAAAATATCGTGGACTTGAAAGATGTCCTTCCTTATTGATGTGGTCGTTGCAACTATTAAGGGACCTAGGCCCAGTTTTCTGATCAACTGTTCCTCTGCTTGTCTATGGAATAGAGTAGAGAGAGTAGTGCTATTTGTGTGACGGTAAATCTTTTTTTTTCAAACCACTATCCATTGAAAGAATAGAAGTCAAGGGAATTTAAATGTTTATAAATATGTTAAAGACCCCTTATTTATTTCAAACCTGTATCCGACATTCTTTTGATAAGTTAATGTTTGATTTCCCCGACATAAACAAGTTCACAAATTGTGCATTCAATTTCACAGACTACTGCAAAATTCATGACTAGGACATCCATCACAGAATTGATCATTGAAGTATACTGGTTTCTCAACTGAGATCCTATATTCACTAATGATATACACCAAACAAGTTAATACAATTAAAAAAGAGAAAATCTATCACAGGATTTCAAAACTCCAAAATAAATATGCCATGTACACCTATTCTTAACAGCCCCAAAATGGAAACCCAATTCTAGACCATACAATGGAGATAAAAAGATTGCCACAACATCAGGAAGTGACATTAGAATGAGCTGTCCAGCATACGGGAACCCTAAGCCAGCAGTAACATGGTACAAAGAGGAAAGCCTGTTTGGTGCTAGCCAGAGACCAAAGGTATGAGATTACGAATTACAGTATAATTTTACTCTGCTTTGTTTCAGGGCATGGGTAAGGGATTAAATTTTAAACACTGCCATTAAAGCTGCAGAAAACTTTTTTTTTAAAAAAAATCCTACAATACGTTATCGGGTTAATATTTACAAATACGAGGGTTGTTCGGGAAAAAAAACGTGGACAAAGTTGTCATTGAAAATTAATGCGTTCAATAAGCTGGAGTTTTCAGCAAACGTTATTTATTATAAAATCTCAGTACATCTTAATTTTTTGATAAAATATAGACAAAAATAATTTTTTATAGAGGATGTTGAAGTAAAAATTAAATGTGTGGTCCAAAATTCAGAGGGCAGCCTAGAATTCACGTTCTTTGTGGATGTTAAACGTAAGCGTATATATGTTTTCGTTAGTTCAGAATGTACAATTTACTGTCTTGAATTTGATTTTTTCCATAACAGACAGCGATTAAGCAAAAGATTATCATAAAGAAGACTATATATTTGAGAAACAGGACAAAAAATTTGCTTCCGTTTCTTAAAATGATATATATCAGTCTATTTACATTTAGCAATCCCGTGGCCACTAGAGTTGGAGGAGCCACAGAATGCCACAGTGATGGAGGGAGAAAGGGTGGTGTTCCGATGCCGCGCCTTGAATGACCCAGATGCCACCACTGAGTGGATGAAGCGGGACACTGACGGTGATTCTGCAAGTGGATTCGATACAAATGTATGTGTGTACTTAACCATATCACCGCACTACTCAATATATAAATAAATGTAAAGAAAAATAATCCACAAGTTTGTTACCACTACGTGACAAATAAATTGCAGAGTAACATCAGTATTAGAAATTACCAATCTGGGAATTGTCTACACCTTTTGAGATTGTATACTTAAATGATTTTCCTTGAAGCTGTTCTGTAGCTTTTGTATGGATAAAAAATCTTTTAAAAAATATTATTTTCATACTGTTGCCAAGTAATGTCTTTAGTGCCTATAATAAATATGAGACCTATCTTCTATCAATAGTCTATTATCTGATTTAGCACTTTCTTAAGATAATTTTCTTGGGCGTCTATTGTTCTCTGCTTCCGCGAAAGAGCGGGGGCTTGAATCTCATTTGTCGGTTTGTCTGTCGTCGATTTAGCTGTCCATCCAGCTGTCTGTCAGTCACAAAACTTAAAAACTTGGTCAAACTTTTGAGTGAGGGAAGATAGGGCTTTCATATTTCACATCTGCATATATGTCACAAGACCTTTCAGAATGAATAATTATTTTTCACCCAATTACTTAAAAACTTTTACCTCCTTTTCAGAAATTTTAACTTAAGTAATAACATTTGAATGAGAGAAGATAGGGTTTTCATATTTCACATGTGCATTACGTAAGAAAAGACCTTTTTGAATATACTTTGATATTAGACCTCATGGTCTTGACCTTGAATTATGATTCTAAAAATAAAAAGGTGAATATAACAGTGATTAATCTCAAAGAAATCTATAAACGATACACATCTGTGAAGAGGGCATAAAACGCGGACTCCTGGAAACTCCCGAGATGGAATCAGGTCGGTAGTAGAAGTTAGCATCACCTGATGACCGGTCACACAGCCCTATGTATTGATCAGGCAGACGGAACATTCCGTAGTCAAATTCAGTATGAAAACAAAGGCCTAACAATTGGTATGAAACACGTCATCCAAAATACGACCCAATGATAGCTTATACGAGTATTTGCTAATATGATCATTAAAACAACCATAGAATTGTTGATTTTAAACGAGGTTGTTGAAATTCCTGTAATATCAACTTATCTGTCAGTAGCCTGCCTCGGTTTAAAAATTGATCGTACTTGGAGCATGCTCTTGAGTATCGAATAACTTAGGAGATGTAAACACCAGATGCAGGTTATAGCGGGATATTATTACATAAAGAAGGAAAGTTGATGATGGAAAACAGTTTAGTTGTTTAGTTGTTAGTTGGCCATTATCCTTTATATCCTTTATAGTCAGTAAAACATCCAAATATGAAACAGATGTGGCAGACTCTGTGGTGTCTTTTATTTCAAGTTCACCGTGATATATCGAGTCGACATGTGAATGGAAGTAATTTATTATTTAATAATACATGTATGCAATACCTGTGACAATACCTTTCTGAATGTACTATTGTTTTTTTACTCTGACCTTGAACATTGATCTACTCTTCAAATATCTTAACCTTGGCCGAAGCTTTTGTACCGGAAAAGATAGGCTTTCACATTTTACCTGTGCATTACCTGTATCAAGGTCTTTCCAAGTGTACTGTGAATTTTTACTTTATGGCCTTGAAGTTTGACCTACTTTAAAAAAATACCTTGTTGCTAAGTTGCCCCTGAAGATATTACTTTAAAAATATATAATTTTTTAGCATGATGAACAGACAACACAGTTCTCATATGATAATTGGTTCATTGAACCTCAACCAACAAAACCCCTAGAGCGGGGGATCACAATTCTCTCAATTTGCTTCTTATGATTCAATTTTGATATCCTTTTTTTGGATTTTTTTTTTTTTTTTTTTTTAAATTTTTTTTTTTTTTTAGAATTTTCTAAGCAGTGGACCAGAAATGGTTATTGAGAATGCTAGGACAGAAGACGCTGGAAAATACACATGTCTGGTAGGGAATTTGTTTGGGATAAAGTACACTAATGTCTGGCTGACAGTTAAGCATACCACCATCACCACATCATCAGCTTCTACAAACCCCGCCAACAAAAAATCAAAAACTACCACCATAACAACTACAGAGCAACCAACAACTTCAAGTCCTGTGATACCATATTTATTTTTAACAGGTATCATAAGTGAAAAATGTCTTGATGTACTATTCACTGTATTAGCATAAAATCCTAGATTTTTGTTTCACAACTGTTGAAAACTACGGAAAATTAATTTTTTTCAAGTAAGTGATCATTCGGCGTATCATTTAGATGTGTATTTATATATTCTTTCTTCACTTTTTCATGCAAAAAATAGCACGGAAATGTTTGCACAAGTTATATAACCTGAGAGAATGATTTATTACATATAATAAGCATGTTTTGAATTTCCCGCAGAGTGCTTCTTCTCGAACTTTTTTTTTCTTCAAATGAAATGTAAAAGATGAAGATAAGATAGTTCTGCTTTAGAATTGAGAGAAAGTTGATTTGTTTTTATTTGTAAAAGACTGTAAGTAACCATTTAAGAAATATCTTAGCTACTAGCCAACATTTCGGTGGCGAGGCGATTTTATTGACTAATTATCGAAAGTTCGCTCTGATCTGACTCTTCAGGAATGTTGTTAGATGTTTGAGATGTTTCTCTTCACACAAAATATATGATATTCTTTCCTCTTGACAGGAAATTTAACCAAAAAGAACCAGAAAGACAGAAACACTTCTCTCGCCTGCCAGAGTCTTCTAAAGATCAATGAGGAAAAAGTTAATCTGCAGAAAAGGACGGTGGACATTCTGGAGGAAATGCTTATTATACAAAAACAGAAATTGACACTTTTGCAAAAATCGCTTACATGCTAATCCACATACTTTTCTATACTTCATTATCTTTTTATGTACATGAATTTGTAGAGAAAGGGACGCAGCTTGAAGTGTAATAACCCTCTACTCTAAATTTCACCATTTTCTTAATTCCCAACATTGGCTTTCATCAACAACAATAGCGTCAGATTCAAATGGAAAATGAATTAATGTATGAAGCGTTTCTTACGTTCTTAATGAATATTATGTCTAATCATGATATGAAGAAAATTTGAGACAGTGAATAGAAAGATCAATAATTTACATGTATTATCTCAACATAAAATTAAAAATATGAGGTATATAGGAAAATAATATTTAGTGGCATACATATCAAATTCATGTTTGAAAACATAATGAAGCGTTGCTTTTTAAAACTGAATATCACATTGTTATCTGTGTTGTAAAAAAACATCCATCTACAAGAGTTATCATTTCATCTACAAGAGTTATCTTTCTTCAAAAAATATGTACCAATCAATAATGACAATTCTATATCTGGTACATTCTGGAATATTCATAAGATAATTTATACAAAATGAATCAGAAAGCAAGATAGTTGTATCTTAACTCATCGACCCTTTGACCCCAATCTACAATGCTAACGAATGCTTAAGAATTGTACAATTGACCGGTGAATCTACACAGAACAAAGGCTTCTATACTTGACTATATCCACGATTACAATGGCGGCTTCTAATTCCGTGATTATTGTTATTTAGACCAGTAAGATACTCTATAATCTAGCATCAGATTCATTTCGGTCGCATCCAATAAAAGTCCGTCATAAAGCACTATATGTACAATTCACATCTTCTATCTGTGTCTAATCGGAGATATGTATTGTTTGCGTTACTGCTCATGTGTTAACACTGATTGACGTGTTCTTGTAATGCGCTGTCATATATCTTTAAAAAAATGAAAATTTTTGGAAAAAAGAAAATTTCATATAAAAACAGTAGGAAAATTAAAAAAGATCCACAGTATCGAGTTGATTAAATGGACTGGACGCAGAGAAATCAAACATCCAAGAAAAAGTGATGTTCAGAATTGCGTGGCTTTGTTTTTACTAGTTAACCCAATACTTGATTAATATTATTTCAAACAATAAGGATAACAAAATATTGACTGCTACAAATGCATTGCAAACAAATATATCATTCAAGAAAACACATTACATGTACTGTTAAAATTTCAAAAGATATACGCATGTAATGTATATTGTAGATTAATAAAAGAAATTTTGGATGCCATCATAAGACCAAATAGTTGTGCAAAAGAAAATCTGATTTGATGCATGGCATGTGCAACATGCAATGAAAATTATATCTAACTATCAGTTACCTAACTTCTAGACATGAACGAACACACACACACACCCACCCACACCCTCACACACACACACACACACACACACATCTTTGACAAAATATTTATAGTCTTTAAAAAAGAAAAAAAAACTTAAACGCAAAATCTGAGCAAAAGAGATTAAATTTTACTTATATGTCAATTATTAATTTATTAATTTCAGGTACTAAAATTTTAGAAAGTAGACATAGTTTATTTTAAAATAAATTGCATATCAATTATTAATTTGAAGTTATTGATTTAAGTCCACATGAGCAAATTAAATTTAGTCTTACACTGTACAGGACTGGTAATTCTAACTGAAGAGAATCGTGTTTAAGAAGCTTATTTCAGATAAAAAAAAAACTTTGTTGTGAGTAGGGTTGATAAATGTTAACCACTAGATTTTTTTTTCATCATCAGTAGCTCCACCATGGTCAAAAATCTGTATTGGAATGTTCGAAAGCAGACATGTGCGTCTTGTTGGATTTCAGCAGTACACATGTAGCCACAGTTGTTCACATGGCATAGTTTTTAGTTAATGTTGCCATGTACTGGTGCAAAAAGGAGTCCACAACTTTATTCCTCATTCACTTTGTCAAAACTAAATGTAGCCAGACTTTTGCTATCTATTTGTCTGAGCAAAGAACAGTTAATACTTGATGTCAGTTTCCCAATTTCTTCCTTTAGTTCTTTCATAATTTGGTTGTTGATTACTTCTTTTAGAGGTGAATTGTAGATAACCCGAGCTGTTCTCTTTGTGGATGGTTAAACCTCTGACAATTTCACTTAATTGACAATCTCTTACCAATTTTGTTCTTAATTTCTCTTTGTTTTGTACACAACCTAATATATATATAAAATAAAATTTCTTTCAAAATAATAACAATTTTCCATCAATGATACACTTTAATAATCATTGTATTCAATTTTCAATTTATTAGTTTATATGAAAAATGATGTTTTAATTTGTTTACATTTTGAAATTAATAATAAAACAGAATTTCTTTTCTTTATATGGCCAAAATAAAGAAAAACAAATTAATTGATTCATCTCTTTGTGCAACATATAATGACACAAGTTATGAAGATCTATGTCCATATCTAATTTGTGTTATATAATATCAAAAGTTTACTTTAAGTTTACTAGGTGTGAAGGACTTTATGGTGATTGGTGTTTGAGTGTCAATGGAAGTAGCTTTCTCTGGAGGTAAGTAAAGTCTGTGGATATCTTGCTGGTCTCTTATTGTTGTTCCTGTTGTTTACATGTACCTGGTGGATTTACTTGTGGCACTCCTCTGTTTGTTCCGGGGGGTTGAAAACAAATTTGAGTTTGAATAGAATGGATGTGTTTCATAAAGCTTCACTCTTTAAAATATCGGATAACCATTTTTATTTTTCCAATGATAGAAAATTTTGCCAAAAAATGATGTTATTCTACAAGCACTCCTAACCAAAAGCCAAATTTATACTTGATATATAAATACATCTGAATGAAATATATAAAAAGGGGTAAAATATGGAGTAAGTTCCTCGAGAAGTAGGTATTTGATCTTCATTTTTATATCCTTTAAAAATATTTTTCCTGATTATATCTCATTAACTGGTAGGGAGATATCACTGCAAGATTACTGTTTTAGATAACTCAGAAAATACTTATATATATATATATATATATATATATATATATATATATATATATATATATATATATATATATATATATATATATATATATATATATATATATATATATATATACATTTAGCAGGGAAGTATTTATTAGACCTGTATGAAAACGGATTTTAGGAAATTAATTTACTTAAAAATGTTCTTGTTGCATACACTAAAGTTGGTGCAGGTATCATTTATTTTGATATCGAATTCATCTTAGCACAGAAATTTTGCTCTTATTGACTAATCCAACGGTATTTTAAATTATTATGAATTAGATCAAATATTATTGATGCAAAAAAAAAAAAAAAAAACACCCTGGACCATATGCATGATTGTACCATTTTTCAACGCAACCATTCAACTTGCAATTGGTTCTTGTAAACCAGTTACAATGTACACAGTGAATAATGATAGTTTATCAGATCTATTAGAAAATAGTAAAAGAACAGTGATAAATCAAAAATCCTGCACATTATATAATATTTTTTTTTAAAAGAAGAAAGAAAAAACTCTGAAAACACAAGATGTGGAATCAGATGCCAAACAGGAATAAACATCCCCAGTTGACCCGTCACACCCGCTTTGAGCCCTCTGTTTTGATTTCACTTTTAAAAAATCAATATGCCCACACACATCAATACAGAGAGACTGAAGGGGAAAGAGAGAGAATAAGATGTAAAAATGCTACTTATTTTTACTTTATTATATTGGTGCAACAGAATTTTAAACTATTTGAAAGACATACCATATGTGCATATACAAGTAGATATACATACATTACCTCCTTTTATTAAGAATCGGTAAAAACAAAAAGAAGTGAGAAAATATACGATGCACATAATTCATATAATTATATTTGTCCTGATTTTCAACTTTTTCGAACAATATTAAAAGTACCAGTATATTCAAATTTCTAAATATACATTAAAGATGTAACCAGACAGATAAATAAATGCACTCTTCTGTAAGCAGTGAATAGTTCATGTATTTAGAGGATAATGATCAATGGTCAATCTCACATTATTATAAGCAGCAATGACAAAAAGGGAATGTCCTATTGAATTTCTTTTTCGTCTTTTAGCTACAATTTCTAACAATCCTTATCAACTTTCGTTGCAGTTTTTAAATCATCCTTTTATAGGTTAAATTTGATAGATTAAATTGAAAGGCTACCATCTAAAGGGATGTTCAAAGGAAATAAATGTGAGTGATTTTCATTATAATGAAATTAATTCTTTATGTATATGGTTATTTCATTTCAACCTTTTAAAAAAATACGCTTAACTCATCCTATTTTATATGTATTTTTAGATATGATGCAACTAAACCAATAAATTAAATAAACTTGTTTTAATACCGATCACAGTGACATGGATAAAGACTAACAATTATAGTTTTGAAGGCAAATTAAAATAGCAGTGAAAATTTTAACTATATTTGAAGTTTGAAGATATTCAGAATAGGTCATTCATATGACATGTAAGTATTTTTATTTTTTAATATTCAAGGTAAAAATCTAAATGCATCCACTTATCTATTTCCATTAGAATAATGCTGTTGTTTTGAAACAGCAATAAGTATTATATCATCAAGCAGGGGTTTTAAAAAATAACCATCGGCTGTAACAAAATTAGTTCCATGCACTTCTTGAAAGTAGTTATGACTTCAATTCATTCTTGAGAGGAAAATGTTATTCATTTGCTCAAAAACAAAATCGATTACAATATTAGCCTTATAAACACTAAGCCTGATATCTATTTTTGTAATTTTTAAAGATTCTACTTGAACTAGGCCCCAACAAGACTGCTCGACACAACAGGAAAAACATTCTTAACTGAGGACTGACTGAAATAAGAGATCTATAGATTAGATTTTACTTAGAATTTCTCTATCATAGGTCAATTCTTTATTAATTTTCCTTGAAGACGGTTTTTATGCATTGACAGTTACACGTAGCTTCCTTGTTTAGTTGACAG